TTATAGGTATTATACATGACAGATAAATGTTTGTCTAAGCAAAAATCAAACATTAAAAAATTACAGTTTATTGAATTATACCTTAAAAGCAATCCATTCTTATTGATAGAGAGATGTGCTGATTAGTTTTTGGTAAAGTCAGGTCTAGCCGTTCCGAATATACAAAGCAAAAGTGTTAAAAAATGACAGTTTCTGAGAGAACTAAGCATCTGATTTAAACGATTTAAAAAACTTTCTGCTTGTATTGGCGAAACGATCACTTTCGGGGAAAGATTTTTTTTTAATTTCAAAAAAATATTTTTTTTTAAATTTTAAAAGATTTTTTTTTAATGTAGAATATATTTCGGTTTTTATTCTAATTTTAGCTAGAGTTCTAATCATCACTTATATATTTCAAATAAATAATTTTAACTTAGAAATTAAGTTTATATAATTCTTATAAATATTAGACAATATCCTTTTCTTAAATCCGATTGATCGAGCTTTGTTTATTTACTTTTCATACAAACATACATAATCATTGTCGTCCAATTCATAAGCTCTTAGATTTTGACTATAGAATACAAATAATGAAAATTATAGCAATTATAATAATACATTTGAAAACATTTAATATTCTTATAATATTTTATTACGGAACGCGAAGTTCCAGCAATTTGCCTTAAGGCACGGTGCCGTACATCACTAGTTAATGGTTGAATCTAGGGCTTCCAATACCGTACAAAAATCTGAATACCGGTATTTGATATTTGAAAAATGAAATTCCGGGATCCCGGTTTTAATACCGGTATTGTCGATGAAAAATTAAATAGTTATATTTTTACTTACTTCAGTTATATTGACATATTAACAAATAATATATGAAATCTAACAAATATTGTCCTGAAATGAGTACGTATTATATATTTATTACATAAGGAGTAGAAGTAGATTGAAACAAAAAACGTGTCAGTAAAAAATATATATTTTTCTATGTTACATTTTACATTCTACATTTATAATAAGAATTTATTATTTAACAATATATTTAAGAAAAGAATAAATTATAATTCATGGCTAACGTTTTGCTTAATAAAATATGCTTTTAAGAAACATAAACAATCAATTGTTTGATCATCAAGCGAGGACCGAATTTTATTACAAATATAACCAGCCGCCGAAAAAGCTCTTTCCGATTCTACACTCGTTGGTACAATTGTAATTAAGAAATTATACATATTTTGTAGGTTCGTTCTTTTTATTCCTGTTTTTTCAAAAAAAGTAATTTCATCTTTTATTTTTTGTTCTAGACTTGGATTTTTTTGAACACATACAAGGGTGAAGTATTTATTTTAATATTTTTTAATTACACATTAACTTAATTAACTTTGGTTTATATACTCACTTATAAATATCATAAGTTCAAATTAAACGCAATATTCACATAATATTCACACAATATTAACACACTATTCTTCATATAAACATTTATTTTCCCGCAACTTTGAGATGTTATCTACACGAAATTTACACAACTGCCTACTTAAAGTTACATTTCGGCTTTATATAACATTTTATTTAGTTTAAGGGAATTCCCTTGATTTTGAATATGATCAATAGAGTTTTTTTATATGTGTGAGTGCAAGTCAAGTTATTACCCGTTCGGATTTCTCGGGAATTACTGCGATGTGTGCAATTCATCGATAAAAGATTATTACAATGTTGACTATTCTTATGTTGAATGCAATACAATTGAGAATATGATTTATTACGTGGTGTGTTTCTACTATATTAGTTATTAATATTAACTAACTAACTAACTAACTAACAATACACTTCGAAAATTCTCAATATGTTGTCAGCGACACGCAATTTAAACAACTGCCGTTCTTACTTATGTAAAATGATTTATATATAATAAATAAAGAATTATTTCTCATCGATAACGAATTCGATATAGGGACGAGGCACGTGAACGCATAATAACTTTTGTAAATGAACCCTTTTACTAGCTGGCTGTCACACATAATATATAAACAATCGCTTTATCTTGCCGACACCGCTTTATCTTGCCTCAGCTAAGTCAAGCTGAGTCGGCAATACACAATACATAGTTTGGAAACTAAAACTTGATACATATATGTTTTGCGTAAGTTGAATTTTCGATAGAATACTGGTAATACCGTAATATCGGTATTATTTGCATCAATACCGGTATTGAATACCGGACAAAAATCGTCCGGGATCCCGGTATTCGGGATTACGGAATCCCGGTATTGTAAGCCCTAGTTGAATCTAAGTAATTAAAGTGTTAAAAATATATATAAGTAGGGAAATATAGAATTATAGACTAAATATTTGCAGTTGCTTATGTTCGAAAAATCTTCCAAAATATATAGAGTAGGGTGGGGCACAAAGGTCTTTAAGCAATTATAATGTAAGAACTAAGCAACTATCTGACGATTTTTATTTAAATTCCCAGCGAGTTCACTATTGTAGAAACGTGTTTTTTGCTAGTTTTTAAAAAAATATCAATTGGTTCTTTTTACCCAATAAAATTAGACCGCCACGGGACAAACAGGTCTAAAGACTATTTTTAGTTTTAAAGGGATTTTACGAAATAATAGCTGCATTATTCAACCAATGCAAAATAAAAATTTCACGTGTACATTTTTCACAGAGATAATAATACTTTATATAACCTTGATCTGGTATTTCATTAGAAAAATCATCAGCAGAGTTGGATTGATTATTTATTTAACTCATCTTTTATAAAATTGCATTTTTAACTTAATTCACATTTTTATTTACAATTTTTTATTGTTTATACTTTTGCCAGGGTAAAAGTTTAATTGGTCCTTTTTACGCCCCACAAGGGTAAGCTTTTATAGAGGTTATATAAAGAAACTGTTAAATTTCATTTGAAATTAACAATATATCTTATAGAACAAACAGATAACGTATTCTTAAAAATTATATGATGGTCTCATAAACTAAATAACAGTGCTCACAACCAAAAAACTAATAACGAAACAAAATATTATTGTTAATATTTTAAACGATGCCATTTATCTCTCGAAAGCAACGTCATAAGAATCAAGGTGATGGCTGTTTATACATTTTTATACCTCTACTTCCAAATATTGTTGTTAAAAAATTCTTAACTTTACTTGTTTTTGAGATATCGGTGGTGAATCTTCTTACCCGCGGACCTTTAAGCGCTCGCTCGACCCTATAGTAAAATATAATGCTATTACTTCTTTGTTGACAATGTATTGCTTTTATCGCTTATCATCGCCAATATATGATTAGTAATCGATGGTCGTTTACACAATTTTTGCACGGAACAGAAGTTACTCGCCGTTCGAGTTATTTGCGAAATGTTTTCGATGAGGGTGTAGCCATTGCGATTGCCCCTGGCAGATGTAGCAGAACTCTTTATTCGGATCAACCCCCGATTTACACGGAATACTCCTCAGGGTAATTGCCCGATAAAACACTTCAATCCACCAAATGAACTGAGCGCGGATCGCTCACGCTGAATGTGTTTATAACTCGCTATCACTGGTCGTACATCCCCTTGTAAAATAAATAAATACGATTGACTTGAACGTAATATAACCAAAGATTTTAATAAATTAAAAATAATGTATTAATTATATTAAATTAAATTCTACAATGTACTACAGCTTTTCACACGGAATTGTTATTTGGTCATGCCATGGACTCCTTTATTTGGATGCCTCAGAGTAATTTTCAGCAAGATTTTTTTTTATTTTCAATTCGTGAACTATGCCAATTTGTTTTTACTGACGTAGACCCCCTGAAAGTTGTAATGGAATACTGAGGATCTATATGAAAAACATTAGGAATCATCCGCCAAAATAATATGATAATCTTTTTTTCCTAAATAAGTAAAAACGTTAGATTTGTTTGTATATTTTACAACATTTTGATAATATAAAGTAGATTTACCAAATCATTTTTAATAGTCAAATAGCAAAAATACAAAGATTAATAATAATGTTGTTAGTTATAGATTTGCCATTATTAGCAAATGAAATTGCATTTATTCAGTATATTATTTTTACTTTAAATAAATATAAATAATAGAAAAAAAGTTATTTCACTTATTTTCACAACATGTGTTTAAAAGCTCAGAGATTTGGATAATATGTGACCCTTTCTCGGATATTGTGGTTGGTTTTTATTTTTTCTTTGTAAATTTAAGCTTTGGAAGTCACCGTAAATAACATTTCTAGAATCACAGTCAAATTTGCCTTAAGTTTTCATGAAATAAGACTATTTGTTAAATCATGCATCTAAAATTTTCAATATTGTTCTACTTTTAAAGACACAAAATGTATTGGAAAATTATACCAAAAGTTAGCTCATTTAATCAGGATCGTAAAATGCTAAAACACTTTTAGGTTTCATAATAAAATAATCGAGAAAAAAATAAAAACCATTAAATAACACGATTTTTAGAAGTGCATTCATATTCACAGCATGCATTCATTTAAATGTAAATGCTACAACTTTTTTAAGTAACATAATTATACTTAATAACATATATAATAATAACCAATGATATAAATTAAATAATTAATAAGTAAATAATAAATAAATTGAATATTTGATATTGAAGTTATTTGTAAACTGTTCAGCTTCATCTTTTTCAAAAATTAAGTTTACCAATACTTTTTTAAATTTATTTTTGGATTATTATTTTATAATGTATTAATTCTTTCAGTCACAGTTAAATAATTTTGAATAACTTATGTAGAATAATGTCACTGATATCGTAAGTCGTTGAGAGTTATTCAATTTTGAGTACCTACTCAGCATTAAAATTAATATGATGCTGTAAGGGTTATAGTATTTAATCTCTTTAGAACTCAACGATGTGAGTTACATGTAAAAATAAATATATTTCAAACGTTTTAGATTTTTCAATACTAGTACTTGAGTTTTCAATATTATTCGCGATACTTTAAACCTTATGTTGAACAACCCTTATAATGCAACAATTTCGTACGCCAATGCGCCCCAAAGCAGCTCGTAAAATAATGTTAAGCCCTCTCAAGTTGGAAACAATAAACTCTGTTTCATGTACTTAAACCCTTTTCTCCACAGTTGAAATAAATACATATTACAGTACAGCACCGTAAAAGTCCTGTTTATTCGAAAGCAATTAGCTCTAATTAAAAGCAAAGAGTTTGAGAATAACGACGCACTTTGCCAACGTCTCGAAAGAGAATTTAGCCGAGATTAAGGAAAGTAATTAATTAATGATTGTGCACAGGAGCAAAAGAAATTAATTAAAATGTTACGGACTGTAACCGGACTTAATAAAATTATAACGATAGTTTTTTGCTTTTTATATGGTTAATTTGCAATATATTATTGTATAGCATTTATTATAACATATATTTTTAATTTTATAATAAATCACTAATGATAATGTATATCACTTATAATTCCTTTGTAGCTGTAGGGTAGAACGGAGCTTGAAGGTTCGCGGGTAAAAAGGTCCACTACTGATATCCCAAAAACCAGTAAAGCTAAGAATTTTTTAACATTAATATTTGAAATGGAAAAAGATGTATAACCAGCTATCATCTTGATTCCTACAACGTTGTTATAGTTGCTGACTAAGTTGAATAAAACAAATTTATAAGAGGTAAATCAAATAAATAGCTATTCCAACTCTGTTGATGAATAATATTGACTAAATACCAGATAAAGGTCATATACAATGTAAACTCTGTAAATAATGTACCCATAAAATTTATATTTTGCGTTGGTTAATGTAGCTATTATTTCGTAAGATGCATTTCTGGCCGTCACTTTTTACCCAGCCCATGAAGTTTTTGAAAAACAGCAAAAAAACACATTTCAACAATGATGAATTAACTGGAAGTTTTACGGAACATAGTCAGATAGTCGTTTGTTTGATATGTGTTATTTGTTGTAATATAATTGGTTTGGTCTACACAATATCATTTCCCGAAGTCAAATTGGATATCTGTGCCCCGCTGTATCCTATATTATTTCTTATCTAATTTTTTTATAGTTTATCCACTGAGTCAAATAATAATTAAGATTCATAAAAAATATTCGATATTCAACCAAATTTGTATGTTGTATGAACTTTAAAATTAAGCCTTCTGATGGATAAATAATTATTTTTTTAATGCAGATGCTACAATGATTGATTCAAGTTTAATTGCAATAGCAAGCTTATAAATATGATTATATTATGTTTCAAGAATTATTTTCAAATTCCTAAATGGAAACATGAACTGCAAAAAAAAATACATTAAAAATATAAATTTGAATAGAGCACATTTTTCGTAGATGACTTGTGCGACATGGAATCGCGATTAAATCCTCCAGCACTTCCACACAAGATTATAATATTTTACATGAAAAGAACCAAGACAGCAAACCATGAAATAAAAATAAAAATAAAAATATGATCTGTTATCGTAACGGTTTATCAGTGTAAAGTAATTACAAAGTTTCTTGGTGAAGCAATCTTATTTTTTATGCACCCCAACATAAAACATCCGCACATTAAATCTTCAGAGTTTATATAATAACCATAAAGAATGAGCACACTTCGCCGTGCAGGAATGAATCAAAATTAAATTATACGCTTTGGGCCGACAATTGAGAAATATCGCGCGCATAAAAAATTCTGCAGGCAACGTGCAGGGACAACGAATTTTTTTATTCCGCAGCACCGGCATTATCCTAATAGAAATTTTGTAAAAAAAATCATATATGATACAGGAATTATTATTTTAAAATATTGCAATAATTACAATAGTATGGCGATCATTTTTAGATTCTAATAATACAGTGTATTTTTGGTTTGAATATTTCATCTCATTTTCAATCATTTCTGAACGTAGAAATATAGTATCTGAAAGAAATTATTGTAAGAATTTGTAGCTCATTGTAGAACAGTTTTTTTTAGCAATGAGATTAAAATTTGTCATGAATACTCTAATAGCTGTGTTATTGCCTTCGATGTTGTCTATAAACTGTGCGAAATGCCGAGTTATTTGATTTTTGATCTCTTGCACAATATTATTTACAGTGAAATACAAAATAATATTAATATACCTTTGCACCTACCTAAAAGAAAAAAATTATTATTTTTCTTGTTATTGAACAGCAATCAGAATATAACAGTTCTATGAGATATTGTGATGATACTTCTCCTCGACATCATCGCTATTTAGAAGAAATCCAAAGGGTTTGCCCATCTATATATAATATATTTTCATTAGTATAATTTATCTAACACTGATATTATTTCCTAATTTGATGCAGCAACGCAGGAGTAGAGACTTATAATTTAAAAAAAGGTACTATTCTGGTTTATGCGGTTATAATTGTTATGCAGGTATAATTGCAAGGTCTACGGTCGCAGTGTCGATTGGTCAAATTTATAACTTTAAATAGCTAATTCATTTATAAAACAGTTTATAATTGCTGCAATATTGCTTACCCTAATACTATTATATTTGTTTCGATATTTTATAAAGCTAGTTAAATCAAATTCCAATTTTCAGCTCTATCAGATGACGGAAAACAAGATGCAGATGCTGAAGAATCCGGCGTAGCATCAAATTCTAGTAAAAGTGCAACTACTAATAATAAACAACGTAGATCGAGGACCAATTTTACCTTAGAGCAACTCAACGAACTGGAACGATTATTCGATGAAACCCATTACCCAGATGCCTTCATGAGGGAAGAATTGAGCCAGAGGCTAGGACTTAGCGAAGCTAGAGTGCAGGTGGGATAATTAAATAAAAGAAACTGTAAAAAATTCGACAGATTCTAAATGTAAATTCATCTTAGTTTTATGATATTTTAAACATTGATATCCACAGAAATGCCAAATAAACCTAATTTTGAAAATTTCTTTCGGAACTCTACATACAATCAACGCAATAAATCTTATAGAGTATATATTAAGGCGATCGTGGCATAAAAATGAATTCTTAATCAATGGAAAATTTGAAACGTTTTTAATATAATTGTTATTAATCAAATGTACAAAAAATGTTATTCACTTTTCATAAAAATATTGCAGCATATATTTGAAACAATGGTGTAATTTATTAAATGTATAGTCGCCAATTATTTTTAATAAATATATAATATAAATTGCTAGATTCTTATAAGAACCTTTATTCAGAATCAATAATAATGATCTAAAGACTTATTATAAATCATACAGTAATATTTAGGCAACCTGGATAATATTAAATTTTATTACCACTTTTGCAAAATACCTTATAAATCATCTTAGAAACTTTATATTAGAAATATATAATTTTTGATATTTTTAACTTCCCGTAGGGTATGTTATTGTAATGGGCCGAAAATCAAAATTGAAAATTTTTACATTTCTCGACGTTTTGAAGGATTCTGAACATTTTGGCATACTTCAGAAAAAATGGATGTGTGTGTGTGTATGTATGTATGGATACAATTTTCCGTCCACGTTTTCGGGCGTACGGATCAATCGATTTGAATGGTTCAAAAAACATTCGATTCTTATTGATAAGGAGATGTGCTGATTAGTTTTTGGAAAGGCAGGTCCAGCAGTTACGGAAATAAAGAGCAAAGAGTGCAGAAAATAGAAATCGAGTTTTTGAGAGAACGGAGCATCCGATTTGAATGATCTAAAAAACATTCAATTAGTAATAAAAAGGAGAAGTGGTTATTAGTTTTTGGCAAAGGCAAACCGAGGCATTTCGAAGATACGGAGCTAAATGTACAAAAAATGGCAGTTTTTGAGAGAACTAAGCGTCCGATTTGAATGATTCAAAGAACTTTCTGCTTGTCTTAACAAAATAATTGATTTTGGAAAAAAAAATTTTTGTTCCATTTTTTTTTTTTTTTTAATTTTTTGTAAATCGAAAATAATTCAGATATAATTTTTAATTCTGACTATAGTTATAATATACTTTAAACAAAAAATTTCAACTTTGCAATTCAGTTTATATAATTCTTATAAATATTAGACAATGTAACAATATTTATAATAATATATTTGAAAACATTCAGTATTCATCGAGCATTTCGTTACGGTACGAGAAGTTCCAGCAATTTGCCTTAAGGCACGATGCCACCTACCCCACTAGTTTAAATTTTTGTATATCGAAAATAATTCAGATTTTATTTTTAATTCTGACTATAGTTCTAATATACTTTAAACAAATAATTTCAACTTTGCAATTCAGTTTATATAATTCTTATAAATATTAGACAATATTACAATATTTATAATAATCTATTTGAAAACATTCAGTATTCCTCGAATATTTCGTCACGGTACGGGAAATTCCAGCAATTTGCCTTAAGGCACTATGCCACACACCCCACTAGTTTATTAGTAAAATTGGTTAGAAGGTGATTTGTAAAAAAGTGTAATAACTAAGCACTATGGGTTTTATTCAAATTATATAATTTCTATATTATTAGCACAAGGTATAATATTCCAGTATTGAGTATAATAATCTAAGAATGAGAGTAAAAACTGCTATGGTATCACTATGGCAGTCGCGTATTCTTTTTCTCAGTGGGTTTTATAGGATAGATGAAGGGTGCTAAATGGGCGGCTAAACGATTATCCTCGGATTAACGAGCGTCTAGCTCCGATTGATCGATCGCGTTACAGAACGGCGCGTCTTACCGAAGTTCCCCTAATCGTCTAATGGGATACCCTTGTCTCATGTGAAACATTTTGTTTGAACTACTAGTTTCTTTATATAGTTGAGATCTTTTTTAATTCATTGGTTTTAGATTTGACACTACCAATAAAAATATGGTAATATCTCTTTTATAATTCACCGCAGATCATGTTATTGTTGATTCAGTAAAGTTTAGCTATAAAACTTTTTATTAAATATATGAAAAATAAATAGAAACACCATTTTTCTCAGCTCATTCTATCAGATAATATTATTGAACGCAAATATTCATGAGCGCATACATTTATTTATGAGATTTTCATTCATTCATATTTTGTTTTTTTACTTCCCAAATTCCCAATTTTATGTTTCCTAGAAGTTTCAAGTCATTCTACATCGTTTGAGACTAATATAAAAAAAATAATATGTTTGTAAGTATGTCAGCCAAAATTTGACTATTTGTCGACATTTACTTAAACCTGGCTTAACCGATTTCAAAAATTCAAAAACTACTTGATGAATATTATAAGGGCTTACGTAGATTTTTTGGTTTTGGAGACGATCAGCCAAAGCGTTTTTTTTAATTGGAATGATAGTACAAACCTTTTTGTCGAAAATCGATTCAGTTGTTTGTGCAAAAACGTCGACAAAAATTCAAATTCAATCTGGTGGGATGCATGGCATCGGGCCCTAAGGCAAATTGCTGGAACTTTTTGTACCGCAAATAAAAATCTTTGTACGGAACCCAGAAAATATACACAAAATGTGTATACACTATTATAATCTCTATAAAAAATCTGATAATTTGATGTGCATATGTCCAATAAACATTTTTGATCGCCTAATGACATTTTTTCAACTTATTTTTATTGAGAATCCATAACCGCTGGACCTGCCTTCCAAAAAATTTAATCAGTTGTTCATCTTGTCAATACAAGTAAATTGGTTATCGAATCATTATAATAGACGCTCCGTTTCCTTAAAAACTGACTTACCGTTTTTGGCACTTTTTGCCCCATATTTTTGGCTAGATCTGCCTTCGCCAAAAACTAATCAACACGTCTCCTTATCAATACAAATCGAATGTTTTTTGAATTGCTTAAATCGGTTAATCCGTGATCTCGAAATCGTCGACGAAAATTTGTATCCGCACACACATACACATACATCATTTTTTCCTAAGGTATGCCAAAATGTTCAGAAACTTTCGAAACGTAAAGATATATAAAAAAAATATTTTCGATTTTTTTGCGATTACTATAACTTGCACTACGAAAAGTTAAAAAACATTACTCATTATTCGAAAAATTGGTGAATTTTTAAAATTGGACAAGTTGTGGTAAGGCCATACTATTTTAGTGTGTTCTTCAAGACCATGGTCTCAATATACGCAATAATTTAAAATAAAATAAAATTAGTAACCCGGATTTTTGGCAAACGTAAACCCCATCTTTAGGAAGTTAATAATATTTTTCTCTATTCTCATAATATTAAATAAATTGTTTATCTATGAATCGAACAAGTAAATTCCTTCATAGCATTACTTTATATCCAACATGCTGCATCGATATATTTGTATCCTATATTTATGAATATGCACTAGCACTACCCTATTCCCAGTTAGGCGAACAAAAATAAAAAGAGGCATGATAAAATAATAAAAAATGTTTTACTATTTTATTGGCTGCACGCGGGGTTGCGCGTGGCCTCTACAAATCAAGTGAAATAGTTGACCAGAGAAGGCTAGTCAGATCGGGGTCCACGATTGGGAGCGTGAGCGTCGGTTAAGAGCCCCACAAATCACAATCACGTCGCAACTGCGACAAGAGCAACACTTCACGCTGACATATCTCAGCCCCTTCAGAGATTTTCAATCAACCTGGTTAGGACATTGATTCGTAAAACCAACATTAGAAGATTGAAAACGAATAATTTAGTTGTTGCAGATTTTTTTCGGAAGATTTGAATGGCGTTCTTTTATATAATAATAAAACTATTTTGCAGTAATCATTCCACGACTTAATATTAAAACTATTTGCTAATTCGTGATAATTTCACCATTATTACTATCATGAGTATCAATCTTTTTTCTACTAATATTAATATGTTCTTAAATCTAAATTCTAAACTAGTTGGTATTGGTATTTTGCCTTGAGGCAAGTTACATGAACTTCCCGATATATGTAAATAATCGACTTAATCAATAAAAAATAAATAAATTTATGAGTGATTATAAGTATTCTGAGTGGATTTATTACACATCATTGCAAACGAACGAACGAACACGTTAACTCGGAGTATTTTCTAAAAGCAAATTTTCAAAAATCAATAATTTTAATTAATCAATAATTATAATTGAACCAGTTTCCGTAGGACTTTGATGGTTTACTAGGTTCAAGACCAAGTACACTATTGTTATACCAACTAAATCATCTAATTTTATTTTTAAAAAACGTCAAAAAAAACCTACTCATTTTTTCAAACTTTGATAAATTTTAAAAATTAAACTACTTGTCGTAAGGCCGTAATAATTCAGTAAGTTCTATAAGACCATGATATATATATCGCCAAAAAAAGTTCCAGTTAACAGTTAAAAACAAGAAAACGGCTCGGTAGATTTTCACCTAAAACTAATCAGTATCATTCCCAACTAATATCTTTCGAACAGTTTTTGATTTTTTAAGATCGGTTCGGTAGGATGAGCTTAAATGTGGACAAAAAGTTTAATACTTTTTTCCAAATTTCCAAACAATAATCCTCATTGAGATACATCAAATGCTTTTTAAATATCCGAAATCGGTGCAGGGGTTTTTGAGTAAGCGTCGATGAAAGTTCTAATTTTGACAAATGCCAAAAAGACCATACTAATTTTTGCAAACTTTGACGAATTTTTAAAGCTAAACCAATTGTCAATATTTTAGTATGATCTAGAAGACTATGGTCTCTACCATCAAAAAAATAATCATAAAAATCGTCGAATTTTTTTTTTAAACTTTATTATAGAAAATGGCCCGGCCGATCTCTACCAAAAACTAATCAGCACGATCCCCAACCAATATCTTTCGAACGGTTTTTGAATTTTCAAAATCGATTCAGAATTGCGGGCTAAAACGTAGACGAAAATTTTTTCACTTTTCTGCGATTTATAAGGAAACGGCTTGGCCGATCGTCGCAAAGAACTGACAAACAATGGTCCTCATCGAGATATATCAAATGGCTTTTAAATTTTTGAAATCGGTCCAGCCGTTTTTGAGGAAACGGCGATTTACGGCAAAAAATCTGTTGGTGCACATGCACACGCACATACTTTATCCAAATTTGGTCTCATTCGAATCAAAATGGCTTGAAGCGTCGAGAAAACATAAAATTAGCAAATCGGATTTTTTGATGAAAACATAAACTTCTCCTTCGGGAAGTTAATTAATATCGGGCTCGCACGTAGGTAAGTCGGCTAAAATGACTGGACTTTAATCAGAGATTTGTCAAGTAGTAATGACAACGGACTTCACTTGGATTTTATAATATGTTGCTAAGTGAAAATAGCCCTGATCCGGCATTGCTGCATCAATTAATACCCACCCTACTACAGAAATTTTAATAATAATTCATCATACACAGATGGGACAACTGTTTGGGATGCCACCTGTAAAACCGACTAGTAATAAGTCAAGTTACCACAATAGCTTAAAAGACTATTAAGTTATCTCAATCTCATGTTTATTGATTATTATAAAACATTTTATGGGATATATTAACCAAATTTAATTTAAATATGATTTTGCATTATGATATTTTTGATAAATCGAATTTGATTTTAATAGAACCTTTGATACGACAATTTCCTGTCATGTTCAACTAGTTTGTATAACTTTAAATGATAAAACTTAATTGAATTATGATATTTCATTTAACATCTTTGGAGTTTTTACATGAAAAAATGAATTAAACACCCTAAAGTGGCAAAACTTGTAATGATATAAATTTTAATTATGGAAAACAAATAAAGAGCCGATTAACTACTTTCTGTAATAAGATCAGTAGTAAAGGTTATGGAAAAATTCGAGCTTTTTAGCAGAAGTATTTAAAAGTATTCACTTAAATTAATTAATTATCTATCATCCTGTTCAATTTTTGAATGTGGAAGGTATAGTTTAGTAACATCAAGAATCGATCTAACGAGTGCAAAATTTAATCCACATAAATCTGGTCACTTAAGAAATTTATCTTTTATCTATCTTTCTCCAAAATGTTAAGAATCTTTGGTTCGAATACGCGGAACTCAATCGAAACGTAATTGGATTACAGTGAGAGGACGTTGTACCGATTTATGTTTATGTGTCTCTATACCATGTTTTTGGTGAAATATTCCTACCCTTCTCCCATCGGTATGTTTATACTGAACAAGACTGAAGAGCACCCCTACGAGAGCTATAGCGAAATCCATAATTTGGGAATAAAATTACGTCAAATGTTACTTAAACATATTACGAATCGAAATCCATAATTAGGGAATAGAATTGTGTGAAATGTTACTTAAACATATATAACAAAGGATCTCTCGTTAGTGGCACATAATAATTTATTTAGTTACAACAGCTTACAGCAATATTCCTCATAATCACACAATATTCATTATATAAATTATATTATTTAAAAAAAATATGATTATGGAATGTAAAAATATAAATAATTAATTTATATATTAATACGGAATTTTAAATGCCTTCATTTATACTCTTGAGCTAAATAAATTATATTTATTTCAGGTGTGGTTTCAAAATAGGCGTGCAAAATGTAGAAAACATGAAAGCCAACTTCATAAAGGTAAGTTGGATAAATTTACTATTATATATGTGTATATCCAATGAAACCCCGTCAAGACTATTTTCCAAGGACTAAGCTAAAAACTCGACGCAAAGTGGCTTATTAAGCAAGAATCGCATTGAGCTTGATCAATTGAGTCTAAACGGGGTTTTACTGTTTATACCAATTTATCATCATATTATATAGAAAATAACATAATATAGCTGACTTTTGCACAAAAGCTTCTAACATTATTACCATCATTTACAATTTTTTGAAAAAAAATCTTTTAGCATGCACATGCAATTATTATTATTTGTAAAATATATTAGTTACTTGTTTAAAAGATTATTTTTGCTAATAACTCATACATAATTTCCAATAATGCAAAAAATTATTATAATGCATTTCTTATTAATTTATCAGGTAATTCCATTAAAGTTCTTTTACTGAAATTATTATATTTCAGTAAAACTTTTCAAGATTACAATTAGAATTAAATTTAGAATGTTTAATAAAAAAATAATTATTGCTATTATGTAATTTTTTAACTGAATATCCTACTATTTAGAAAATACTGTTAATTAATTGATTACATTATTAATCAAATTAGTAAAGCAAATAGTAATTTACATGTATGTTTCACTTCGTGTATGCAAATATACACTTGTCGTCGTTCTGAATTTATGAGGACATTTAAAGGCATGTAAATCAAAAAGTGAGTGTGTAAAATCTGTAAATCAAGAAGGGGTGCCTCATTTTTCTTCTGATGAAGAGACATACGTTGTGGGGTTGCACGCTCTGTTTAAAGTTTTAACCCGATGATCAAATCTGCTACGCAACAAAATTACTGAACGGGGATAGACAGGGAGTTGGGGACTAATTTAGAAAATATTGCAGAGGAAAACTATTTTGCACTTAAATCTTCTAATTAGAGACTACAGTAAAATTGATTGTAACAATTACAAGTCGGCAAATATGACTTTTTACCCTTGGTAATATAATTATTAACAGTTAGGTTATAAAAATATCATCAGTTGTAAGTGAAACTTTTTCCTTGTGCAAGTTGCATAAACTTCCCGACATGTATAAACAATTGATTTAATCAATATTATTTTTTATTTGTCTGCTTTTCCACCTGTCAACCCTTCTACTTTATTTATTTATTCCCATCTACCGGTTTACCCGCCTGTCTGTCTAACTGTTCAACTATTCACTGGTCTAATTACCCATCTGCTAACTTGTCAACGTAGACACCAACTTATCTGTCTATTAGTTTATCAGTCTACCTTTTCATCAGTCATCTTTTTCTAGTTTTTTACCTGATAACCTGTTAACTGTTTAACAGACTAGGTGCTTATCTACTGCCTACCAATTAAATCTGCCAACCTTCTTGTCTACTTTTCCTCTTTTCTACTTTTCGATATGTTTACCTGTATACCTGTATACATGTCTACCTATTTATCAATAATTCTATCTGTATATGAATCAATAATAATGATTAGTAAAGATAATATTTGACCAACAAATGTCAATTCTTGCAATTTTTTCTGCATCACCTGCGGACCTGCCTTTGCAAAAAAATAATTAATCCTTCCTTCTGTCAACAATAGTTTTTGTATAATTCAAATTCGATGCTCCATTTTGTCATCATAAAAACTGTCACAATAGAAAATAAACTCCTAATATACAAGTCAATTATTAAACCAATATGGTCGTACGGCCTACAACTATGGGGTGCGGCCAGTAAACCGAACATATCTATTCTACAAGGGTTCCAAAATAACATTTTGAAAGAAATCGTGAACGTTCCAAAATACGTTCCCAACTGGTTGATACATCAAGTTCTCAGAATTCGAACTATAGAAGAAGAAATTAGTCTTTACTGCACCAGATACAAAGCTCGTCTAAGTCGTCATCCAAACGTTTTAGCGTTAGATCTGCTCAAGCCTTTACCACCAAAGCGTCTCAAAAAAACATTCTGCAATGATTTACTACGTCTCAAAAAAACAATCTGCAATGATTTACTACAAACATCTATGAAGGCGCTATCGCAGGATAGCGATCCTTCTCACGCCGTCAATTAATATATAACTGTAACAAATGTAGCTGAATGTACTTTGTATAGCTTGCTATGAATAATAAAAACTGTCATTTTTAGCACTCTGTATCTCCTAAACGTGAGGAACTGCCTTTCGCAAAAAAGACATGCAAAATTTTCATTTTCGATTTTTTGCGATTTCAAACTCAAAACTCTACTAAATATGATATGAGTAAAAACTTATTAGCACAATTTTTTTATCTAATTTTTATTACTCTAAAAGTATTTTTTTAAATTATCTACTAACTCTCACATTATTTATTATCTGTTGGGTGGTAGGGTTTTCGCCAGGCATTAAATAGACTGTAAAAAATATATATTGTAAATTTGTCGAGTAAACAGAAGTCGGTTATCGAATTTGCGCCAAACAGTTGATTGGCGTGCATCTAATCCTATTTACTGTAAATAACCGATGCCGTGGATGTACGTGACGAAAAAGCAAAGGTTTGCGTTTGAGATCGACAACGTTTAATGGAAATGAGATTTGTACAAAATATTACCAGAAAAATTTATTCAATCGTACAGTAAGAGAATTTATTAATTTAAAGCTAGAAAGTAGTTAATTTTTAAGGTTTTCGCATTATTTTAATTGAGATAATTTGCTAAAACAAGTTTCATAAATTTCTAACTTGCTAAACTTTGTAATACATGTTTGTATAAGTAACAAAATTCACATTTCATTTGTATAAGTGACAATATTCTAATTTTTCAACGGATCTGACCGGTAATCTGATCAGATCTGACCAACAATCTGAATTATAAAACAACTAGCTGTAAGTGGAATTCCGTCTTAAGGCAATTAAGGCATCGTGCCTTAAGGCAAATTGCTGGGACTTTCCGTACCAAAAATTATTATTTTTTTAAAAACGATTAACATTTTTGAAAAAAATTTACTTTGAAAAAATAAGATTTTTGAGAAACTATAAATTGGACAAAAAATTACTTTTTTTTGAAAAAAAAAATTATTTTTTAATTTTTTTATTTGAAAAAAATTTTTTTTTTCTTTATTTTAACATATTGTGGAAGATCTGAACTTTCTTTTCAAAGCAATCGTACTGCTTTAACTGCATAGGGACAAAATATAAAGCGCGTAAGCGCCGCGTCGCTGTATAACGCATAAGCATTGGTACGGAACCCATAGGAATGTTAACAAAATGTATACTTATTGTTAAAATCTCTATAAAATATCTGATAATTTGATGTGCATATGTCTAATGATCATTTTTGACCGCCAAATGGCTCATTTTTTTACTTTTTCCTCCATATCTCCGAAACCGCTAGACCTACCTTCATGAAAATTTTATCGATTCTTCATCTTGTCAATACAAGTGAAATGCTTTTTGAATTATTCAAATCGGACGCTCCGTTCTCTTAAAAACTGAGCCGTATCTTTGGAACGGCTAGACCTGCCTTCGCCAAAAACTAATCAGCACGTCTCCTTATCAATACGAATCGAATGTTTTTTGAATTATTCAAATCGGTTGATCCGTGTTCCCAAAATCGTCGACGAAAATTTGTATCCGCACATACACACACATACATACATACACACACACACACATGCATCCATTTTTTCTAAGGTATGCTAAAATGTTCAGAAACCTTTGAAACGTAAAGATATATAAAAATTTTCATTTTTGATTTTTTTGCGATTACTATAACTTGCCCTACGGGAAGTTAATAACAATTTAATATGATTTAACAAACTCTGTTCAGCAAAATTCCTAGTTCATTACCAATTGTAAAAATGTCTCTTTGCACTATCTTTCTAAAAAAAAACATCTGTCCCTTTTTAGCCCATATGTGGAGTAAATTGAGTCAGCCTAATAGACCCAATGTCTTATTTTTAATTTCATATGGATTTTACGAAATAATAGTTGCATTGTTCAACCAACGCAGATAAATATTATGAGTACATTTTCACAGAAATTACACTGCATATGACTTTGATCAGATATTTTGTCAGAAATATTTTCAGCCAAGTTGGAATAACGATTTATTTAATTTATCTTTTGCAAAATTGTTTTTTTAATTTAATTTACTGTTTTATTCACTATTTTTTATTGTAAACACCTTCGCTAGAGTAAAGGTTCAGTTGGACCTTTTTACACCACCCACATGTAAGCTCATATGAAAGTAATAAAAAAAAACTATTGAATGAAAAATAGCAATACATATTATAAAATAAATAAATAACGTAGACTTACAAATTATACTAAGGTCTCGACAATTACACAACAGTGCTAACAACCAAAAAAACCTTTGAGCCCCACTCTACCCAATATATAAGAAGTTCTATTTTATTTCACTAGTTTATACATTTCATTAATACATATAAACCATTTATTATTTGAGATCAATTGCTAAATTAAATTTTCTAATAATATTGCTTATAATACAAATAATATTATAAAGTAAGTTTTGTTTTATTTAATTTTTACTTAATTGTTTAACCCTTATTCTCATTATTTACCAATTCTAATCATGTATATATTTGATTTAGAAAATGATAAAAAATCTACAAGATAAAACTTATAAAATAGTACATAACTTTCATATGATATACGTAAATAATTCACAGAACTATTGTTAAAAATTTAATGCCTCACGATATGTTTCTCTTTTTTTTAATCAAATAAACTGACTTTGCAACAAATTGCCTTTGCGGGGTGGTCGCGACCCTTACGCACATTTGTGCGTTATGCATCATGAGGCAACACTTTACGGAGATCGTTCCCGTACATTTGCAGTCACAACATCCGAAACTGCCATATCCATTTATTTGATTAACTCGGAAGATATTTAATTTAATCGAATTTAGAGTGTGCCCGGCCCTTCATCGTCAAATATTTTATTCACGTACAGGCAACAGTTTTTCGATTCATGGACATTTGAAATACTATGTATAGGGTCCATTTTC